AGCAGCCTGGTTATTATTTTTCATCTGTACCCTGAATGGAAACCTCTTCTGACTCCTCAGCTATAAATGCAGGATAGATGCTCCAGCTTTCCGCAAGAGTTCAGCTCCCCCATCCTGCTGATCCTACACGTGAAGGTTCACTAGACTGCTTCCAATCGCCGCATTACACTGACCGTGCATATAGGGTCCAAAGCTGGCAGCAATATTCAAGGAGAGGGTTTACAGGAGCTCTGAAAAATACAAATCATCGGATACGCATTTCCAGGTCGGAACGTCCGCGCACGATCCACCCCTTTTCCCAATCTGTTGACTGCCTCATTCAATTATTGCTCGCACTTGTCATTATTTCCTCAATGTGGTCACCGATCGCGGTCCTAGTACCCATTTGCAGTCCAAGGTCATGAACGTGGTGTTTCTTCTCAATTTCTGTGCAAGTGTTTTGCTCTATCCCCATTTCTCTACCAGCTCTGTAACTCAGAACTTCAAACTTAGTCGCAAAATTACATGTTTTTCACTTTGGCCCAGTTATATATTACTGTCTGGGCTTCTTGCAACCGGTCGCAGTCTCTTCTGTCAGTAAATGTCATCAGCACTCTTGTGTCGTACGCGGATGAGAGGATCTCACCAAGGACATTTCCCAGTGGTACTCCGCTTTTCGCCCTCACCTCGGTCGACCTCAAGCTTATAACAACAACGACAGCTTATATTCTGTCGGTTCTTAATCCATTCGAAAAATCGTGCTCTGATCCGCGGTAGTATTGGATTTTTTGAAGCGCACGCCATGGTTAAGTTTATCAAAGGCTTTCGCGTAGTCCTTATGTACACCATTCGCTGGCCCTTCCTGCAGTTTGGTGGATTTGGAATATGATGCTTCAGTATCTGGTACAAGCAGGAGCGATTGCGTCTGAAGCAGTATTGTGTATATAAAAAAGCTTCGGTGAAAAGTTCAGCTTCATCCATTTACTGTACCATGCAACCTCCTTTCTACGGCCTTCTCAAACACTTTGTTTACATGTGATCTTTGTAGGGCTTCAATTTTTGGGTTTGTCTCTTGCACCCTCTTTGTAGATTAGAGTTATTAGTCCCACATTGAGGTAAATAGGAACGTCTTCTTCCCACAACGATACTTTCCAGTGCGAAGTCAGTGTGAGTGCACCGTCACGTTTTTTTCAACAACATAGTATCACATCACCACAACACCACCACCACCATCACCGCCATCATTACAATAATGCGGCGTCCACACTGAGGCTCCATAGCGCTGATTGTTTCCCTGCTGCAGCTGATCCCCCTTCTTCTGATCCCCTTCATCTGACCCCATCTTCTGGTCCCCTTCTTCTGGTCCCCTTCTTCTGGTCCCCTTCTTCTGGTCCCCTTCTGGTCCCCTTCTTTTGGTACCCTTCATGTGACCACGTCATCCGATCTCCTTCACCTGACCTCCCTTCATCTGATCACCATAACTTTATCCCTCTCATCTCGTGAATGCGAGTGTCGTAGGATTCACGTCATTCCTACGACTGGAGTTTGATTGCCTTGTCACGGCGGTATCGTGGATACGGCGTCGTAAGATTCACGTCATTCCTACAACTAGAGTTTGATTGCATCGTCACGGTGGTATCGTGGATACGGCGCCGTAAGATTCACGTCATTCCTACGACTGGAGTTTGATTGCATCGTCACGGCGGTATCGTGGATACGGCGCCGTAAGATTCACGTCATTCCTACGACTGGAGTTTGATTGCATCGTTACGGCGGTATCGTGGATACGGCGCCGTAAGATTCACGTCATTCCTACGACTAGAGTTTGATTGCAACGTCACGGCGGTATCGTGGATACGGGACGCGGGAGGACGGCGGGGCGGCGCCGCTGGACGGAAGCTTTTAACTGATTTGCGGGACCGCGGTGATATGATTAGCAGGGGGAGGGGGTGGAGAGAAGAGGGAGAGGGTTGAGAGAAGGAAGGGAGGGATGAAGGAGAGAGGAAAGGGAATAAGGAGGCAGGAGGGAAGAGAATGAGAGGTGAGGAGGAGAGGGAGTGAGAGGGGAAGGTGTGAAGGATGTAGTAGGGAATGGAGAAGGGAGGTGTGAATTGGTGGGGAATGGAGAAGGGAAGCGAAAAAAGATGGGTAGTGGAGAATAGAGAGAGAAAGAACTAAAGAATTGTGGAGAAAGAAAGGAAGGGAGGAAGGAAGTTGGGCGTGGATAAAAAAGTGGGAAAGAATGAGGAGCATTTGAGATGCAGGAAGGGGAAAGGACGGAGTTACTTTTGGGCTTATGGGGCTTCATGTTTTTCAGTATTTATATTTATGTTACCAACAAGCAGCATATTTGAACTTAATTTGCCTGATGATAGAGTTAGGGTCAAGCGATGAGTGAAATCTGCATTCAGAAAGAATTTGAATGTTTAGAAGATTTAAACAATAAGACGAAAAATGACAAAAAGTAGATTTTCATCAACAAAAAAAAAATAATTTAATTTCGGATGAAGTTTTCGGTCGCTAAGACTTTCATCGAAGAGATAACATTCTTAAAACTTGCAGATTTATAAGGTGCATCTACCTGACACAGTCGCTCTCTGTGACTCACTTCAGGAGGTCAAAGTTCACTCACTTGACGGGAACTTTTGAGGTCAAAGTGGGTCAGCGTATAAGTGGTGGACCCACCCTAGTGAGTCGCCCACTGGTTTCACTAGGGTGGATTCACTTAAGTGGTGGACCCACCCACTCATTTCTATGAGTGGGCGAAGATGACTTGCGGATAAATGTATAGCCCGATGCATTTCACAATAATTATAGCACGATGCCTCTAAAATAATACGCTGCTATGCTATATAGCATTCAACAACAGTTACTACATCTTATTCTTAAAAGTTTGAATTATTACTTGTGATCTTAAATATCTTGAATGATATTGAAGTAACTTTAATTATCTTGAATGATATTCAAGTATCATTAATTATCTTGAATGATATTGAAGTATCTTTAATTATCTTGAATGATATTGCATTATCTTTAATTATCTTAGAAGCGTCAACGGACGCAAAGATACAAGACAATGCAACTGCCAGAGGGAATAATGGAAGGGGGAGGAAGAGAGGGAAGGAGAGGAGGGGTGAGAATGATGAAGAGGGGAAGGGGGGAAAGAGGAAGAGGGGGAGGAGGAGGAGGGGCCTGGGGAGTTCTAAAGGAACCTCCGCTACTCACCTTAATGCACTGCGTCCGAGGATCAGCTGGGGAAGAGGGGAGGGTGGGTGAGGAAGGGAGGGGAGGAATTAGGGAGAGTGGGGATTAGTGAGATGTGGAAGAGATGTGGAAAAAAGGAATATTTGGGAGTATGAGCGATAGAGACATTATTGTGGGAGGAGAAAATGTGGGATAACCAAAAGAGGGATAACACGTGCGGTGATAACAACACGAGCGGTGATAACAACACGTGCAGTGATAACAACACGTGCAGTGATAACAACATGTGCTGTGATAACAACACGTGCGGTAATAACAACACGAGCGGTGATAACAACACGAGCGGTGATAACAACACGTACAGTGATAACAACACGTGCGGTTATAACAACATATGTGGTGATAACAACACGAGCGGCGATAACAACACGTGCAGTGATAACAACACGTGCGGTTATAACAACATATGTGGTGATAACAACACTTGCAGTGGTAACAACACGTGCAGTGATAACAACACGTGCGGTGATAACAACACGTGCGGTAATAACAACACGAACAGTGATAACAACACGAGCGGTGATAACAACACGTGCAGTGATAACAACACGTGCAGTGATAACAACATGTGCGGTGATAACAACACGTGCTGTAATAACAACACGAGCGGTGATAACAACACGTGCAGTGATAACAACACGTGCAGTGATAACAACATGTGCGGTGATAACAACACGTGCTGTAATAACAACACGAGCGG